CACATACAGTACATATACACACATACAGTACATATACACACATACAGTCCTTATACATACATACAATACATATACACACACATACAGTACATATACACACATACAGTACATATACACACATACAGTACATATACACACATACAGTACATATACTCACATACAGTACATATACACATACAGTACATATATACAGTACATATACACACACATACAGTATATATACACACATACAGTACATATACACACATACAGTACATATACACACACATACAGTATATATACACACATACAGTACATATACACACATACAGTACATATACACACATACAGTACTTATACATACACACAATACATATACACACGCATACAGTACATATACACACATACAGTACATATACACACACATACAGTACATATACACACATACATTTATACAATATGTACGTTATTATTATTATCATCATTCAGCAAACTCCCACTCAGTCTTCAGCGAGTGGATCAGAGAGTGGATCTGTTCTACTCCAGGTCTTGCAGCAGCAGAGAAACACAGATGGTCTCTGCAGATGTTCAAGGCTGCGACACTTCGGGAAAATAATAATAATGATTTCTGTCTGAACTGCAGGTTTAAAAAATGTGTTTTTGTTGGAAGTGAAATTACAAAACAACTTCAAGAGAGTTCATTTTGTAAAGGTCAAAAGAACAAGTTTACTAGAGAAACTGTCTATGTCCAAAGCAGATCGTGCTGCAGAAAACAGAGTAGGGTTCATTCATAAATATTGATTCATGAATTTCTGACTTATATTTACTCATTTTCTGCAGCGTACCAAATGTGCACTTTGTCCTTTGGGTTAGTTTCATGTGTTTTGATCCTTCAGAAGCTGTTTGTGTTACAGAGTGAGCCATGGTTTGCTCCAAGTGAGAGTGTCAGAGTGAAATCAAACACTGCTGTTTGCCAAAGTTATTCTCAATGAAACAAACATTTGCACAAAGCCATCAATCTGCTTTTCAAAGTTGATGAGAGAAAGAAAATGAGAAAACATAACGGAGCAAATAGAAATCAAGGGACATTTGGATTAGATCAAAATGTGAGATTTCTTGCGGCCTCTGAAATAATGACAGTAACTAACAGCATTGATTGAAATGGACCCCAACACGCAGCAGAGTCCGCTTCGCCCTCTGTCGGTGCTTAGTTTATTGAGCGTGGCTAGCTCCAGAGTGGCCGGAACTACTTGCGGAGTAATCTACACATCTGAATTACAAGCAGAGAGTGCGTTGCCAAAGGGCAGCGGTCATCATTGTTTTGAGAGGTCCGTCATCAAGAAATAGTGACCGGTAGAAGGTTTAGAAATTACATTCAAATCAATGCAGCGTTCTCCTGCTGCTGTGAGGAGCTGTGTAAAATATATATACAGTATATGCCTGTGTTTACTTCCACACGCTCCAGCCGAGTCACACGCCTCTCCTACTCTCATTATCACGCTCCTGTCCCTGCCGTTGCCTCAGGGTCCTCCTCTAACATGCTCAGTGTTATTAGACGGATCGTGGCTAACGAGGCTAACCTCCTGACGATCAGCCAGACCCTGTGAAGAGCTGTTTCTATTCTGCAGAAGAACAGGGTCCAGTTTGTGCTGAGGTGGGATCACACTGGACCACACTCTCACTCGCTTCACTGTGATTTCTGCACGGATTCACAAAGTAGTACGACATGTCTGCCCACTAGTGGCAGGAGTTTGACTACACTTGGATCATGTTTGAACAAATCCTGAAACAGTGCAGTTTTTGACTTAAGTCGATCATAGCTCCAAGAGGGTCATGTCAAAAACGTCGAATGTCAAGCTGCATGTGGAGCCCCCTGCTGGAGAAGTATGGTAACTGCACTATCCTCTCATCACCCCTTCTGTATCTGTCGTCATTATGACTTCAGCTGGAGTCTGTTCATTGCTATTCACCTGTTGTCCCCTTGTTTGTTTCATGGTGTGATGATGGGACCCCTGAAGCAGGCCTTGTTCACCTGCCCCTGTCAACTGTCCCCCCTCCCCTGTCCTGGGTCTACAGCCTCAGTCCTGGATCTACAGCTTCAGTCCTGGGTCTACAGCCTCAGTCCTAGATCTACAGCCTCAGTCCTAGATCTACAACTTCAGTCCTGGATCTACAGCCTCAGTCCTGGGTCTACAGCCTCAGTCCTGGATCTACAGCCTCAGTCCTGGGTCTACAGCCTCAGTCCTAGATCTACAGCTTCAGTCCTGGGTCTACAGCCTCAGTCCTAGATCTACAGCTTCAGTCCTGGGTCTACAGTCTCAGTCCTGGATCTACAGCCTCAGTCCTGGATCTACAGCCTCAGTCCTGGGTCTACAGCCTCAGTCCTGGATCTACAGCCTCAGTCCTGGGTCTACAGCCTCAGTCCTGGATCTACAGCCTCAGTCCTGGGTCTACAGCCTCAGTCCACTGGGTTTGTGAAGTGGTTCTTCTGTTTGGTGTACAGTGCCTCATTGGGGGTTATGCTCCTCGTAAATGGAGCACTCCTAATACGCTCACAAAACTTGTTCAAACATTCTCTTTTTTAATGCCTCTCAACCTGTAAAATATCTTGTAACAATTTAACGCTTTAAACAAAAAGTGCTTTTGTCCGATCTGTCGCCGCTAACTGTGCGTGAGATTAAAGGTGGTTCTCAAACTGTTCAACTCCGCCTTAAAAATCCAATTAGTGTCATTGTAGTCGCCACATTACTCCACGTTAATGAAAACCCTCCTTTCTCCGGTCTCAGCGTGACTTCCATTCGCTCCAAATTGAAAATGACTGTAATTCTCCGTCGCTGAGTCACTTTCAAAGGTAAACGATGTCTTTTCTTTTTATAGCGGCGGAAAAAGTCCCTCAGTCCCGAGAGCGAATGTAAATGTACAGATATGAAGGTTGATATGAGACGATGGAAGACCCAGGGGTTATTCAGAGGCCTGGGACCACGAGGAGAGCAAGGCTGCGAGAGGAAGACTATTGGATTCACGGAGACGTATTCTTTCTATATAATATATTTATAAGAGGCTGGAGAGAAATGTAATCTCTCTTTCTCCGGTCGCTCAGAGATCGCTGCGAGAAATGTGAGGTCTATGAAAACGTTTGTTATTAAACTATGACAGACAGAGCAGAGAGAGAGAGAGACCAGAGAGAGACCTGAGAGAGAGAGACCAGAGAGAGACCAGAGAGAGACCAGAGAGACCAGAGAGACCAGAGAGAGACCAGAGAGAGACCAGAGAGAGAGACCAGAGAGAGACCAGAGAGAGACCAGAGAGAGACCCGAGGGAGACCAGAGAGAGACCAGAGAGAGACCAGAGAGACCAGAGAGAGACCAGAGAGAGACCAGAGGGAGGACCAGAGAGAGACCAGAGAGAGACCAGAGAGAGACCAGAGAGAGACCAGAGAGAGAGACCAGAGAGAGACCAGAGAGAGACCAGAGAGAGAGACCAGAGAGAGACCAGAGAGAGACCAGCGAGAGAGAGAGAGAGACCAGTGAGAGAGAGACCAGAGAGAGACCAGCGAGAGAGAGAGAGAGAGAGAAACCAGAGAGAGAGAGAGAGAGAGACCAGAGAGAGAGAGAGATCAGAGAGAGACCAGAGAGAGAGAGAGACCAGAGAGAGACCAGTGAGAGACCAGTGAGAGGCCAGAGAGAGACCAGAGAGAGAGAGAGAGAGAGACCAGTGAGAGAGAGAGAGAGAGACCAGAGAGAGACCAGTGAGAGGCCAGAGAGAGAGATCAGAGAGAGACCAGAGAGAGACCAGAGAGAGAGACCAGAGAGAGACCAGAGAGAGTCCAAATAGAGACCCTAGAGAGACAGAGAGCGAGACCAGAGAGAGACCAGATAAAGACCAAAGATAGACCAGAGAGAGAAACCAGAGACAGACCAGAGAGAGAGAGAGGCCAGAGAGAGAGACCATAGAGAGAGACCAGAGAGAGACCAGAGAGAGAGACCAGAGAGAGACCATAGACCAGATAGAGACTCTGGGACCAGCAGGAGGCCAGTTCCTGTACCAAAGTCCCAGTCTTAAAATTAAGCTTAAGCGCAAATTCAGACTGGAAGACTGGAGAACCCAGCTCACTTCACTCAAAGTCCTCCCCCTGTTGCCCACAGCAACAGCATCTGTCAATCACACTCAGCTGCAGCACCACACTGCCCTCTCCTGGCAGCATCAGGCACTGCCCACACCAGCTTCATATCACACAGAAGCTCCATCCAAGCACCAGCTTCCTTTATGCAGCAACCCTCCTCCTCCCCATCTCGGCCTCGTTCTAGTCCCAGCTCCTTCATCCTTCTCCTCGCTCCCACCAACAGGGTCTAGACCCCGGGGATCATCTCATAATCTCTTTCTCCTTCTGAGGTCGTGCAGGTCTCGGGGTCTAAAGCCAAATCCTAAAGCACATTCTGTACAGTAGTATAAATGTAATCTTTAACATACTCTCCTCAGAGTCATGTGTGTAAATAATGTGTTGTCAGATTACTGCCAACAACAAACAATACTAACACTTGTGTCTGTTCCAGTGGCTCCAGATGGAAACGCCTTTAACCTTTTTATTCAGAGAAAAACTCAACACACATGTTATTGTGACTTATACTAAACTGTAAACTGTGCAGCAATATCAGTTATCTGTCTCCCCCATACGCCGGCGACACTCCCCCCTCTCTCTTCCTCTCTCCCCTCTCCTCTCTCTCCTCTCTCTCTTCTCTCTCTCTCCTCTCTCTCCCCCTTTCTCTTCTCTCTCTCCCCCCTCTGTCCTCTCTCTCAACTCTCTCTACTCCCTCTCCCCCCTTCTCCTCTCTCTCCCCCTTCTCCTCCCTCTCCCCCCCTCTCTGCCCTCTCCCCTCTCTCTCCCTCCCCTCTCTCTCCTTCCCCTCTCTTCCCTCCCCTCTCTTCTCTCCCCTCTCTCTCCCCCCCTACCTTCCCTCTCTCACCTCCTCCCCCCTCTCCCCCCTCTCTCCCCCTTTGAGCTGTGACTCACACAAAGCCACATGTGTCGCTCGTCGAAGCAGAAAATCCAATGTTTGTGTCTGTCACATGTTGGAGACGTGAGGATCAGACGCAGAAAGTACGAGTTCAACCCAGAGGCCAAAGCAATCAGCCGTATCTGCCCCATCAGAGAGACGCACAACCAACAGATACACACACACTGTACAGACACACACTCACACACACACCGGTAGAGCTAATTTGAAAGCCAAGTTTTTAGCCAAACGCAGCCGTCGCAATCAGATCCAGAGCTCAGAGGATGTTTTTCTTGGGTCTGGACCAGGAGAGGACCAGGAGAGGACCAGGAGAGGACCAGGGGAGAACCAGAAGGGGACCAAGAGAGGACCAAGAGAGGACCAGGAGAGGACCTGGAGGGGACCAGGGGAGAACCAGGAGGGGACCAGGAGAGGACCAGGGGAGGACCAGGACAGGACCAGGAGAGGACCAGGGGAGAACCAGAAGGGGACCAAGAGAGGACCAAGAGAGGACCAGGAGAGGACCTGGAGGGGACCAGGGGAGAACCAGGAGGGGACCAGGAGAGAACCAGGAGAGGACCAGGAGAGGACAAGGAGAGGACCTGCAGGGGACCAGCGGAGAACCAGAAGGGGACCAAGAGAGAACCAGGAGGGGACCAGGAGAGGACCAGGAGAGGACCAGGAGAGGACCAGGAGAGGACCAGGAGAGGACCAGGGGAGGACCAGGAGAGGACCAAGAGAGGACCAAGAGAGGACCAGGAGAGGACCAAGAGAGGACCAGGAGAGGACCAAGAGAGGACCAGGAGAGGACCAGGAGAGGCCGGTGGATGGTCCTCAGAGTGTCAGTGTGATGAACACTGTATTAAAAATGACAGACTCCAGCTGCATTCTCCACTTTCACACTTCACCGTGCATAAGTGGCGTCCGTGCATCTCGCCGCCGGCGCCACGTTAAAACTGTGACGTGCACTTATCACACACGGCTCACACCACTTTGCTGTGACGCACGGAGACGGACGAGTGTGAAGCGAAAACGAAAGGATGTTTACAAAATACTTGAGTAGAAAGAGCTGGAAACGGCAGTGAGTCCTGAGTCTGAGTCCAAACCACATCCAGCAGGAAGTGGAGGAATGCTCTCTTTTGGATGGTCAAGTATTCAGAATTTCACTCTGAACCAGAGCAGGGAAAATGGTCCAAACCAACAGACTCTGCAGACATGACCCAGAGGAAGCAGCTCCTCACAGCGGCTGCACCACACTGCAGAAAGTGATGATAAACAACACAAAAATTGCTAAAATGTGGCAAAATGTAACTTTTGCCACATTTGAAGAGATCCTTTGTTCCTTCAGCTGTCAGACTGTACAACAAACCTGGATGAGTCTTCTGCTGCTGGACACCTGCATTTCTCCAACAGGGGATCAATAAAGTATCTATCTGTCTTAATCTGAGTCTAAAAACTAGATTCTCCAACAGGACACAGCAAAATGATGATGTTTTGAAAAGACACAGAAATGTCTTTCTGTAAAAATAAACCTCAGTTCTTGAAATCAGACTAAATGACTTTGTTGAATCTTGTTTTAACACCGTCTCAATGTGTCATTAAAGTTAAAAACACTCGATTCAAGCTTTTATTAGCTTATATTTTTACCTTTTTTGCAGTGACTGTAAAACTATTGTTAGTAACTTTTAGAATGATGTTCCCTGGTTTTGGAGCCGTCACGCACAGAAAAACAGATTTTAAGAAAGATTTGTTTGCCTTTCTACATTATTGGGTCAAATATTATCGTTACATATTTACATCCAAAAACACATTTTACACATTTGTTTGTTTTTCTCATTCTATTTCTCTTCCTTCTATACTTCTTTTCTTTTGTGTTTATTTTAGGCTCACGGCAGGAGTGGGGGGACAGGGTGATGTTTTTCTTTCTAATGGGTCTAGAGAGTTTGGGTTAGAAGTCAGGATAGAAGACCAATGGTAGTGAAAAGTCTGTGATCGGGACGCCCAGAACTCTAGCCTGGCTCTCGCCAGACCCGTTTGGCTGAACCACATGGGTCTGGGATCGAGGCCATACCAAACTCCTTCAGCAGATCAGAAAATAATCTACCAATCAGAATTGCCGGTGTTACGTTGGGTTTGCACCGCCTTCTCAAACGTGTCTCAGGCATGGATCTATTATAATAACTGGATAGGGTATTACTAGCTTGTAGCTGAATAACTCATGTGCTCGGGAGATTCTCGCGGTACTGCAGACTGAACCAGACTAAATTCACTTGGGCTACCCAATTTTCCCCATAGAACTCAATGTAAGTCAAAACAGCTCAACCTCAGCTGACAGAGAACCTGACAGAGAACCTACAGCTTTCACAAAGGTCGGATTTTGTGGGGATTTTAGTGTCCCTTGTCATCCTGAACTTTTTTTCTTCTTAAATCCTTCGGTTTTGTTTAAATCCACACTTTAGTGCCACAAACTCTGCTCGTCTGGCTCTCGCTCTAACTCCCGCTCTGATGAACTGCTCTGATTGGTCAGAGCGCGGCCGAGCCCCTCTGTGCACGTGCGTGAGACCCGGTGTGAGACCCACACACGTGTGTTTGGTGCAATGCATTATGGGAGATCATCCACTGTGCAGAACCGGGAGGACCAGACGATGCCCAAATACAGGCGAGTTTCCCATAGATCTTTGAGAGTTCTGCTAATATGTCAGTGCCCCGGCACAAAGCGCCACTGAGCACAACCATTCATTAGAATAAGGCGCCATCTTGGATCGCCGGGGCTTGGTCTCAGGCGTGGATCTATTGCAAGCAATCCAAGATGGCGGACATAAAGTCCGTGATTTAAAAAAACGAATTAAGACACGGGTGTCACTTTTAATGCAATATGAGGTTAGATGTTGATGGTTCCATGTTGAGGGTTCCATGTTGATGGTTCCATGTTGATGGTTCCGTGTTGATGGTTCCGTGTTGATGGTTCCATGTTGATGGTTCCATGTTGATGGTTCCATGTTGATGGTTCCATGTTGAGGGTTCCATGTTGATGAGCACGGGGGTGTTCCTGTTTACAACACTGTGCAGCGGGGTTGCCAGGTTGGGTGGTTTCCTGCATACTTTTTTCCAAGAGACTTGTAGGTAATAAATAAAAGGAAAGACAATAAACAGAATAATGAGAGCCCAAGTTGATTTAATTACGTTTTTAGCAAAATAAAATCATTCTGGGTGTTTTTTTTTGTGTGGCATTTTTGCGGGTTTTATCAGAGCAGTTTATTATTATAACAGATTAGGGCCCTTTAATGATGACAGATTAGGGCCCTTTAATGATGACAGATTAGGGCCCTTTAATGATGACAGATTAGGGCCCTTTAATGATGACAGATTAGGGCCCTTTAATAACGACAGATTAGGGCCCTTTAATGATGACAGATTAGGGCCCTTTAATGATGACAGATTAGGGCCCTTTAATGATGACAGATTAGGGCCCTTTAATAACGACAGATTAGGGCCCTTTAATGATGACAGATTAGGGCCCTTTAATAACGACAGATTAGGGCCCTTTAATGATGACAGATTAGGGCCCTTTAATGATGACAGATTAGGGCCCTTTAATGATGACATATTAGGGCCCTTTAATAACGACAGATTAGGGCTCTTTAATGATGACAGATTAGGGCCCTTTAATTATGACAGATTAGGGCCCTTTAATGATGACAGATTAGGGCCCTTTAATTATGACAGATTAGGGCCCTTTAATGATCATGTTGAGTCGTCCTCCTTTCCACATGTGACAGTTTTGTCCTTGGAGGCTTCCGTATGTTTTGATTCTGTAGAAAGCACATTTGATCCGTCCTTTCTCTTCTCTGATTAACATAACTTCTCAAACGTGGCGAGCAGCCTCCGGGCTCGTTGTGAATCCGCTCCGGGCGCCGCTGTCAGACCAGGAGCAGATGATTTATGGTTCTGTTCATATCTGGTCTGAGCTTCATCAGCGCTGGTTTAAACATTACCACGGACTGTGTTTTGTGAGTGTGAAAAACGCAGCGATAATTTAACATCTACGATTCGGATGTACCTGCGATCCACCGCCATCTATCACCACGGCAACAATACCACACATGCTAAGGAGAGGCAGAGGCTATCCCTGTGTGTGTGTGTGTGTGTGTGTGTGTGTGTGTGTATGTGTGTGTGTCTCTGTGTGTATGTGTCTGTGTGTGTGTGTGTGTGTGTGTCTGTGTGTGTGTCTGTATGTGTGTGTGTGTGTGTGTGTGTGTGTGTATGTGTGTGTCTGTATGTGTGTGTGGTGTGTATGTGTGTGTGTCTGTATGTGTGTGTGTGTGTGTGTGTGTGCACGTGAGTGTGTGTCTGTATGTGTGTGTGTGTGCGTGTGTCTCTGTGTGTCTGTATTTGTGTGTGGTGTGTGTGTGTGTGTGTGTCTGTGTGTGTGGTGTGTATGTGTATGTGTGTGTATCTGTATGTGTCTGTGGTGTGCGTGTGTGTGTGCGCGGGGGACGGGACAGCACAGAACGGCACGCAGCTAAATGCTTTGGTCCAGGTCCCGGTGGTTTGTTAATGTGTTTTTCTGTTGTTTGGCCCCATTCGCACCGACACACGTAACGTATTACGTTACGAAGTATTGGTTCTCTCCTGTGTGGGGTTAGTGAAGAAGGACTGGACCAGGACTAAACTAGGACTGAAACCAGGACTAAACTAGGACTGAAACCAGGACTAAACTGGGACTAAACCAGGACTAAAGATGGACAGAACCCGGACTGAATGAGTGCTTAACTAAGACGGAAATCAGGACTATACCAGGACTAATACAGGACTAAACCATGACTAAAGCAGGTCTAAAGCAGAACTGAAGTGGGACTAAAGTGGGACTAAAGCGGGACTAAAGCAGGACTAAAGCAGGTGTAAAGCAGGTCTAAAGCAGGTCTAAAGCAGAACTAAAGTGGGACTAAAGCGGGACTAAAGCAGGTCTAAAGCAGGTCTAAAGCAGGTCTAAAGGAGGACTAAAGGAAGACTAAAGCAGGACTAAAGCAGGCCTACAGTAGGACCAAAGGAAGACTAAAGCAGGACTAAAGCAGGTCTAAAGCAGGTCTAAAGCAGGTCTAAAGCAGGTCTAAAGGAGGACTAAAGGAAGACTAAAGCAGGACTAAAGCAGGTCTACAGTAGGACTAAAGGAAGACTAAAGCAGGTCTACAGTAGGACCAAAGGAAGACTAAAGCGGGACTAAAGCAGGTCTACAGCAGGACTAAACCAGGACTAAACCGGGAATAAACCAGCACTGAACAAGAACTAAAGCAGGACTAAAGCGGGACTAAAGCAGGACAAAACCAGGACAAAACCAGGACTAAAGCAGGACTAAACCAGTAGAAAATACATAAGAATAACACTTTAGTGAATCTAATCTAATCTAATGATCTGGGAAACTACATTTTCTTTCACAAAGTTCTTCTTTCCTGAAACTATTTTTGAATCCAACATTTAGAACAAATCCAGAATCACTTCATCGTTGTAGTGAAAAACAGGAAGTCCCAAACCAGGACTTTGCTTCGGCTCCTTGTGCACAAACCGTAGATGAAATGAGATCCACGTGGAGCGCAGACCGTGAGATGGAGATTTGCAGACCACTTTGTCCTCTCGTCTGGTGAAGTGTCTTTAGGCGCAGCTGTAAATGCCAAACTGTCCATGAGCACAAGTTGGGGATAATATTCTGACATTTATGTTTTTGAAGGTTGGCCGGACGTAATCTGATTTCAGAAACAGACGATTCTCTTTGTCACTCACAGACGATAATGAGACTCTTTCCTCTGGCATTTCGTGTGTAGCATAATATTTGCATAAAACAGGACTAAAGCAGGAATGATCCAGGTCTGAACCAGGACTGAACAAGGTCTAAAGCAGGACTGAACCAGGTCTGAACCAGGACTGAACAAGGACTAAAGCAAGACTCAACCAGGACT